TGAGGGAAAAGATCCAGTCAGGGTCACCCAGGTAGGTTCCAGTTTTCCATAGTGGATGCATTGATTTCTTACCACAAACTCAGATTCAAAACTATGCTTTATGGGTAGTAAAAGAAGTGTAATTAATATATAGTGCCACAAATTTGAGGAAAATTGGGCTTGCGGGGCTTAAAGAGTCTGCCTTGCAGAAGGAATTTTCAGAGTTTTTAATACACCAACATACAACTTTCTTAATTCAGCAGTGCTCAGAGGATGGTCTACAAAACTCAAAGAACTAATGTTTTCTAAATAATGAATGCACAATAGTATAGAACTGTGCCTGCTTAAGACATTCACTAAAACATAACATGGAACAACGGATTTCACATAACAGTGTGAAAAGTGCTTTGCTATGGTTTCAGATTTCATATTGCAGCCAACCTTTATGAAACTGTCACTTGTTGAGTTGTTGTGGTGTTAAAGAAGCATATCTAAAAAGTTTCCCCATTTTCCTTCCATATATCTGAGTGGGGCCAGACTCAACCAAAGCAACATATCACAACAGAATGAATGAAGAAACAGCCATGAGAATTCAATCATCTTGTATTAATCCAGATATTGCAAAGACTTGGAAAAATAAAATGAAATGAAACTATGCCAATATTATGGTTTGCATCTAGAATGTCCCTCCAACGCCTATCCAGGTGTTAAAGACTTGGTCCCCAGTGCAACGATGTTCAGAGGGCTGATTTTTGGGAAGTGATTGCATTCTGATCAATAGATCAATCTGATCAATGGATCAACCTATTGAGGAGTTCATAATTGAATCAGGTATTGGGAGGTAGTCGAAACTGTGGGAATAGGACCAACTGGAGGAAGCAGCCACTGAGGCAGTCACCTGGAAGGACACAACTTGTCCCTGGCACCATTCTCTCTTGCTCTCTTCCTGTTGCATGGCCTCTATGAGATGAGCAGCTTTGTTCTACAACGTGTTCCCCACCATGATATTCAGCCTTCCTGTAGGCCCAAAGACAACAGAGCCAGCCAACGATGGATTGAAAACTCCAAACCTGGGACCAAACAAACCTTTCCTTCTTAAAGCTATTTTCCCAGGTATTTGATCACAGCCATGGAAGGCGGAAAAATACAGCCATCTTTACTCCCAATTTTTTTTCTGTAAAATATTGTTTCTATGCACAAAAATATCATTTAGGTTAACATGTAAGAATTTATTACATTTCTTTTCAAATAAATTTGAAAATTAATGTTTTTATAATATGTTTTAATTTCAAGTGGAGTAAATAGTCACAGGTATAGCCCACATCAAGTAATGCTTTCTGGGACCACCAATAATTTTTAAAAGCCTTTGGTCATGGAAAAACTCTGTGTGGACACCTTGAGCACATTCTACAGGACTATGCGGGAAGCGCAATCTCATAGCGTGCTTGTAAAATTATTAATTTATGTGCCTCTGCTCCCTAGACATTTCTCAGCAAGTTCATTTAGATGCTGATCAAAGGATTTCCTCTCAAACAGAAGTTTTCTGCTTCTGACCCTGGCAGGAAATGCATGTCCCCTTTGGCAAGCACAGTAGATGCTGACCTCATCTATTTAGAAGAGGTCTTAATCAGAAGAATTCTCTCACTGAGCAAATATTACACAGAGTCAGGAAAAATGACAGTGGAGGTTAACATTTTCCCACTTCAGACAGTTCTCTGCCATTTGATGTTGTGCCATCAGGTCCCAAGAATGTAACAGATACCATGACAGTTAGAATCATGGTTAATGTCATTTACCGTTCTTTTTCCAGCAACAGAATCCCTGATTAAAGAACCTGCACTGCAAATGACTCTTCTACAAAATGAGCAGGATGGCAACAATTTATACTCTCGGTAATGACAATTCACGTTGTAAAAACTGTGTGCAAGCCAAAAATAACTGAAGTACTAATTCATATTTCAACCATGGCATTTCAGAATATAGAATAGGACCAGAAATCTACTTTCTCTTCCCCTTGTCAAGTAGCTAAGTGACTGGCCAGAGCCAGTCTCAGGTGCCTGTGAAAGACTCCGAGAGAGTCAAAAGTGTGACATGGCAAACAACCCTTCCATATAAAACCTCTCTTCAAGGAAAGGCCAGCCTTGTATAGCACTGTCCTAGGGTAGGGCTGCTCAAGCCTTGTTCTTATTTTGGAATCTACCTAATAATGAGAACTATTAATATGACGGTTTTTCTGTTTTGTTTTTGTTTTTGAGGCAGGGTCTCACTATATAGTTCAGGCTGGCCTTGAACTCACAGTGGTCCTCCTGCCTCAGCCTCCCAAGAGCTGGAATCACAGGCATGCACCACCATGCCTGGCCATTTATGCAGTTTCTAAGTCTCTAACTTAAAATGTTGCTGCAGGGTGACCAGGGTCTCATCTATGAGAGTGGAAGACATGCATCATGTATCTGCTTCCTTTTGACCAAAAACTTGAAATGAATTTAGCATTTAATCTATTTCCACTAAAACTTTCTTCAATAAATTTTCATGGCTATAAATATTGTTTCATTTTCTTTCTGTCTCTTCTTTTCTTTCTTCCATTTTCTTTTTTTCCCTCCCTCTCTCCCTTCCTTTCTTTCTTCTTTCCTAAGTGCTGGGATTGAAATCCAGGGCCTGAAGCATGCGAGGCAAGTGTTCTACCATTGAGCCACACCCGACCCTCTTACTAAATTTCAGATCTCGTTCTTCCTCATACAGTCACCCCAAGAACTCTGAGATAAATGGTTAACTATATCATTTAACTGGTGAGGAAACAGTCAATTGCTGAGCTCAGCCAGTTTTACACGAGGCAGAGGTGGGGCTGGCGTTCGGGGAGTCAGTTCCTCTGACCACCCAGCCCATGCCCATTCGAGGTTCACGGACAGCAACATCACATAATCTAGCATAGCAAGACATGTGATTCTATGGGTGAAATGGAGGCTCGGAGCTCTAAGTGGCCTTTATTTTAGAAAGCCTTCCTTATCCTCTGGGTACTTGTTAAGTAGGCTTCACCTCTGCCTTCCCATCATGCCCTGTGCATCACCAGAGTTGATTCCCTAGTGATGTGTCTGCCTTCCCACTGCCTCTCGAAGGCCTCTCCAGCAGTACCTGGAGCAGCAATCCCTGAACCAGTCAGTAAAAGAAGCAACCAGTGGTGTCTGTAGTAGATTAGTTCCAGGACCTTGGCCAATACCAAAACCCATAGGTGTTCAACTCTCTTACACAAAATGGAATGGAATTTACATATAATCAATATGCAAACTCCTATTTACTTTACGTCTCCTCTGATTTACTTATAATCCCTACTACAATATAAACATTATGTAAATAGCTGTTATTCTGTATTATTTAGGGAATGAAGACAGGAAAAGAAAAGTTGTATACATTCAGTGCAGACGCAATTTTTTTCCAAGTATTTTCTATTTGCAGTTGGTTGAATTCATGAAGACAGAAGGGGTTCAACCATGGGGATGGAGGGCCAACTACATTTGGTGCCAAAGTATTAACTTCCCAATCAGGTTCTTATTCCCTGAAGAATATGCAAAATAATCCTTTGGGGTACAAAGGGAAAACATTAGCATTCCTATTTATGTTTTAAGTTTGAAAATACGAAACATGGCTTTACAGATATTTTCCACATGGATCGCCAATGGCACCCTCACCCAGTCCTTGTGGCCAGCAGCTGGAGTCCCTCGGGCCTGGCACCCTAGGAAGCAGAGAGTCCCGCAGCGCACTGGGGTTAGCTGTGGGGTCCTCTGCTGCTTATTGTTTTCAGCATAGTGCATCAATTGCATTCGCTTGTGGGCACAACTGAGAAAGTAGTAGAAAGAGGTTATACCCTCGATTTTACCTACACAAATCCTCCCAGAAGAGACAAGCAGATTTAAAAGAGCCCTGTAAAGAACTACAAATAAGGCTAATAATAATGTGAGCAAAATGAGCAGCAAAATAGCAGAGCCTTGACAATATTGCAAACATTTTTCTCAGATACATCATGAGATGAAACAATAACAAAACAATCAAATCTGATGTGAAGTTGGTGAAAGAAAAAAAAACACAGATGAACACCCGAAAATATCAAAATTTGACTGTTGTTACCAATCACCTTTGCCTAAATGAACATGATGCCTTAGGAAACTGCCTAAAAGAATTTCTATATAGTTTATAAATAACTGTATTTTTCTTTTTTCTTTCTTTTTTTTTTTTTTTTTTTTTTTTTTGTATTTTTACCGGTACCAGGGATCGAACTCACGACCACACGCTTGCAAGGCAGGCACTTATTCCGCTAAGCTAAATCCCCAGCCCATAACTGTATTTTTCTTAATGGGAATAAAACGTGGAGACCACCAAGCTAGATCGTTTCTACTCAAAGCACAACTTGCAAAGGAGCAGCACTGGCACCACCTAGCAGCTTGTGAGAAATACAGTTCTGGAGTGAAATGCAGTTGGGAAGCATCAGCTACTGAGTCAGAATCTGCATTTTAACCCAACCCCCAGGACATGCACAAGCACATTTCAGCTTGACCAGCACTGAAACTTTAGGACAGACACCATAAATGATGAGTCTTCGGTTCTTGTTTATGGCTCCATATAGATTTCTCTGTTGCATTTTTGAATTTATAATTTCTAATACCTGTTGAAAATATCCTTCAGATAAAAACTAAGATATCCCAATGAAACCCAAATTTGGTTAAATAACCTCTGTATAACTGCAGCATGATCTCCTTACTCATTCTAGGATACTTAAAATAAATTTCCTGATCTCTGTACAAGAAACACTATTCACAACTGGGTGTGGTGGTGAATGCCTATAATCCCAGCGCTCAGGAGGCTGAGGCAGAAGGACTGCCACAGATTCGAGCATGGACCCACACAGTGAGTTCAGAGGCAACCTGAGCTATATAGCCAGACGCTGTCTCAAAAAAAAAAAAAAAAGAAAGAAAGAAAGAAAAAGAAAAAAAGTTATTCAGCTGTGCCTTACTCATTTCTTTCCAACTTACTTTTGTTTGATCGTCAGCTTTGAACACATAGCAGATACTTTGCCGGTGGGCAGCATCCTCCTTAATCAGACATGCAAAGTAGCTTGGGTCGTGGCTGTTGTGAATCAGTTTGTGAACGCGCTGGGGCTTGCATTCAAAGATGCTCGAGCAGATCAGTGGATCCCACTGTTGACTCCTCCCCGGGTCAGGTTCACATCTCAGCCCAGAGGGTGAAACCCAAAGCCGGACTGGCCTGACGACAGGTTCCTTTTTGGAGGACTGGCCACTGAGTCTTCGCACCTCCGCCACAACCCAAGGCAGCATGGGCATGGTGGTCAGAGAATGCACAGGCAGGGAGCCAACCAATTGCAGGCCGAAGTTGATCGAGACTTCACTAGGAAACGGATGTTTCCTCGCTGTGAATGTTATTGGTTCCATCTTGGAAAAGTCTAGAGACTCAGCAAAAATCTTGCCACTGGTTTTCTATTTTGGACCAAGCAATCTGTTTTACACGCTTCTGATGCAGACTCCCTAGGGGAGGAAAAACAGAGCCATTAGAATTTAATGAAGTCATAGCAGTATCTACTTTGAGAGAGTTATGACTCCTAAACTTAAAAGTCTGAAGCTCAAATGTAAGAAGAAATGAATATTAGCTGGAATAAGCTGATCTGCCTAGAAAGAGCTCTCCTGCAATCGTATTACCTATAAAACCTAGTAATGGCATAACTGTCACACTCATTACAGAATACAAAGATCCCACTGGGACACTGCTGTGAAACATAAGCCCCATAGGGCCAGCAAAGGCAAGCACAGGAGGTAACAATAGAGAGCTAGTCTGACAGCTTTAAACTCTATTGTATCACTGAACAACTATTTCAAGACATTTTCCCAAGATAAAATTCAGTACAGGTGATTCCCCTAGAAAAAAAATCTTGTGAAAAAAATATTAGCCATCCATCATTAGAGTCTATAGAACCAAGCTAGTTTTAAACAACTGACCTAGTTATTTATGTCACTATTCAATGATGTTACCTTTTATTCCCCTGTGGTGCTTGGGAACCCAGGACCTCACACTTGTAGGCAAATGCTCTACTGTTGAGCTATATCCCTAATCCCTATTCAAATCTTAACTCTCCCCCAGTCACAAGTTCATACTCCACTCTCACATTCAATGCCTATTATTTGCCAAACACCATCCTAAAAATCATTTTAATTCACATACTGCAAGCCATCTCCCCAACACTTTGCCCGCTCCATCAACAGATGTCCATGTTACTCCTACTAGACCCCAACTCTCTCACCTGCATGTCCCTCTGTTTCAGCAGAATTGTTTTGGGTAGAACTCAATTGTCTCAAAGACTGCAAGGCCTCATCTCTACTCATGTTCACCCTGGACCTTCAGTGTCTCGGGTCCCTTGAGCCAGGACACAAGAGAAACTCCATAACCACAGGGAACTGCATCTATCTCCTCCACCATTCATCTCAGGGCCTGGCAGTGATGCAGAGATGGGGCTCAGGAAATATTTCATCTTCTTTTTTTTTTTTTTTTTTTAATGTTTTATTGGTACCAGGGATCGAACTCACGACCGCCTGCTTGTAAGGCAGGTGCTTATGCCGCTCCCCAGGCCCCAGAAAGTATTTCAAAGGGTGAGTAAATTCTCTCCCATTGAAGAAAAGAAGGACAAGGAAGAAAGGAGGGAGAGGAGGAAGAGGAAGAAGCAGAAGGGAAAAAGAAAGCCCTTTGTGAAACTCTTCTGATAGTCACCCATCCTCTCCAATTGCTTCTTTTTAGGTTTCTTTTTTTTTTTTTTTTGGCTTGGTTTTGTTTGTTTGCTTGTTTGTTTTTTCTCTTAGTTCTGGAACTGAACACAGAGCCTTGCACTGAGCTACATCCCAGCTAATTTTTATTTTTTTATTTTGACACATCTCACTAAATTGCTAAGTTACTTAGGCTAGGTTCAAATTTGCAATCCTTTTGCTTCAGCCTCCCACTGTGCTAGGTCTACAGTTATGCATCACCATGCCCTGCTCTTTAAAGCTTTTCATCCACTGTTTGGTTCCATCCTCCCTCCTCAGTCCTCTGACTTTTCTTTGATGTCATCAACCACATCTTGATATACAGATTACTTTTATTGAGTGCCAGGTATGAGCCTTGTCTCATCTTTAATCTCCATATTTATCAGAGACTACATTTATAAACTAGGAATCTGAGGTCTAGAAAGTTGGAGCCACTTGTCACAGAGGCATGACATGGTCTACACCTGACTCTCAGGCCCCTCCTTCTGAGCACTGCACAAGAGGCCCAATTGTCGGTCCCTCTGGAAGCCTCCTGTCTGAGACCCACATCAAAACCTGTCATTTTGCATATTTCTAGCTGAATATCCCATAAGCACCTCAGTGGGGATCTAGATCTTTTAAGATTACTCAGTCTCATCTCCCTCCTTCCCAGAACTTCTCTTCCTTCCTAATAGGTCAATTTCAGTGAATTGTATCACTATTTATTTTATTGGTTGTGTTAATCAGTTTTCCATCATTGTAACAGATACCTGGATAATCACCTTGTAAAGAGAAAAGGTTTGGCTTACTGTTTCAGAGGGCCCAGTCCATGATCAATTGGCCCTGTAGGTTCTAGGCCTGAGGCAGGGCAGCACATCATGGGTGGAAGTGTGGGGCACAGAACCACTCATCTTGTGGCTGGGAATGAAAAGGAGGAAGCAGAAAGGGCTAACACCCTGTAAGGACAGGCTCTCAGTGGCCTAACGACCTCCTACCAGGCCCTACTTTTTAAAAGGTAGCCCTTAGCTCTCCCAGAAATACTTCCCTGGGCACCAAGACGTTACCTAAGGACCCCTGAGGGGGAAATTCTAGATGCACAGTGCAGTACTGGCCAAGGGGTCATTCATATTCCTTCTTCGTCCTGCTACTGGTTCTAACTCATTTTACCATCTTACTATAGCTTGAATCTTCCCACCTAGAGAAAAAGATATTCTCATTCTTCAGTTCATCCCTCACATATTTACTAGAGTAACTTTCCTAATACAGGGAATTTATCATGACACTCTTGTGCTAAAGTTACCTTACTGCTTCCTTCCCATAAAATCTAAACTCTTCTCCATGGCAAGAAAGGTCTCTTTGCTATCTGGCCCTGTCTATTTCTTTAACTCTTATTATCCCTAATGTCCTCCTCTATGTACCTTTTGGATATAGAGATAGAAAACTAGTCATAGCTCCTCACGTAAGATGTGATTTCTCATGCCTCTGTGCTACAGTGCATACTATTCTTCTCTTTGGAACATAATACCTCTCACAAACTGCAAAAGGTCTTCAAGCTAACAGATTAGCCTACCACAAGTTAACTTACTGGTAGAAGACATGAGATCCCTGGGTCAGAGCCTAAAGACCATTAATTGCTTGGACCAAGAGCAGTAACTAGAGAGTCGGCATTTGGATCAGTTCTCTGACCCCCACAATCCCCACAAGCCAGGTGACGCTAGCATTGCAGTGGGCTACTAGAGAAGAATCTGGGTACAGGGAGCCTAAAATTCTTATACAGGCATTTGTACCCTTGCGTTAGTTCCCTGTTTGTTGTAGAAACATGACTGAAAATGTACTCTAGAATGAGGCATTCGGTATCCTGCTTACAAAATGTGTAGAAATATGAGACCCAGGGAGAACAGGGAGTGTAGGGATCTACACTTAGCTTTTAATTCCAACTCATATTTATGCAATTGCTTGAGTAACCACCACCTGTTCCTTCTGAGGAGGCTGGGGGCAGCCGTCGGTATATCACTCCATACTTTGTACCTAATCATCATATTACTCCAAGAGTTTGAAGAGGTGTCCCTCTGTGGGACCACAAGCTCCTTAAATTCCTAAGGTCTGAGGTTCTGAGGAGCAGTACTTTTGACCATTTCTGAAACAGAACAGAAGTCTATTTTTTATTCTATGTTTTTATATATGGCACCACTTTAAAACTAATTTTATAATATAATTTGAACACTACTAAAGTAGTGTTCAAAAAATAATGAGTTATTTTTTTATTTTACATGTTCAAAAGTTTAGAAATAGGGCTAGGGATAAGCACCAGCCTGGCAAACAAGAGGTGTTGAGTTTGATCCCCAGTACCAAAAAAAAAGAAAAAAAGTTTAGCAATAAAACAATTCACTAGTGCTCATATATACCCTGTGAAAGTGTAGTCCCTGACCCTGTTTCTTTTGTACAGCTATTCCTCAAATGAAGATAGACTTGAAGTTCATATAATCAAATAATTAATAGTCTATCTTTTTTTTCCCTTTCTTGTCTACAGGTGAAAATAGCATTACATGCCTGGCTTGACATTCAGTCCTGTAATTGAATCTATTTCAAGCTCTAACTGTTGACAGCTGTTAATCCCAATGTATGTTTAAAGAACTACTAGAATTACTACAAAGGGTAGACCTGAAGTCTATCAATTATTTTAGGTGAGGCAATTATTAATATGGTGGTGACAAACACAGCAGAATGACAAGTGATCATCCATTTAAATCATTTGGTAAATAGCCATAAAATTAGTTCTGCCAGCAGTTTGACAAAACACTTTGAATGCCTAGTTTTCACTTTTCAAATCACTTGCGGCACATTCTTAGTTTCTATGTACAAAGTAGATTAGCTCTGACTGCTGCTCAAAAGATATCAAGCTACCTGTTCAATCTCAGTCAGACATAGCTATCTTTTTATACAAGACATTCAGATTCTTGTAAGAATCATGATATAAAACCAGGCAATCATTACTTTTCAATAAAAAGTCATGACATAGATGGACTATTCAACAACACTAACAAACCATTACATTATTTTTAAAGCCATCTCAATCCACATCATTTACATTGGACTCTAGGTTGAACTTAAGCCTACCTATTCGCATGAGGCCTCTTGTGCTTCAGGTCCATAGTAAGAAATGCTAGTTCCTTATTACAGTGAGTTTCTATTTATGTTCTTGATAGTAGAGCCCTGTGTGTACAGGACCTATCCCTCTAGACAGAGCCTTTGGTATTCTACTCCTCTCCTCCTCAAAACACAAAAATCCTGCTAGGCCACCTACCCCTAAAAGCACGCACTTCTATTCATAAAATTTTAAAGCTAGCAAGCCCTTTAAAGCCATTTAGAAATGCCCCTCATATTTGAAATGAAGCAACTGGGTTCTGGAGAAGTAAAGTAGCCTATCCAAATTTAGTGACAGAATTAGGACAATCCAATTCCCTGACTCCCATCCAAGAGCTGCAAAGAATGTCAGTTTCCTCAAGAGAATACTTTCAAGTGTGAGGTTGAAAAAGAAAGTAACTTAGCTTCTCCAAATCTCAAGTTTATTCTTATAAGAGAATAAGACAAGGATCATCTCCAAGTTTTCTTCTATGTCTAAAAATCTGGTGCATCTAATTTTCATAATGCTTGATACCAAATGTCCCCAACATGGTATAGGGATACAAAGCTGCTCCTGTCTTCCCTTCAGGAACAAATGTGTGGGGGAGGTACGTGAAGAAAGGATGGGTTCA